TTTTGTGATTAATATATATATTTTTTGCTCTTTTTTTTTCTTTTATATGAAAAGCTTAAATAAGCTAAATGAAAAATTGGGTTATAACACCATGCAATTTTCCTATCCAAATTAACACCCCCCCCAAAGGAAACTTCTTTGAATTTTAATCATCTCACGCAATACACATTTAGGAGTCTTAAATAAAGATAAATAAAATATAGGGAGAGCAGAGAGTACCGAGTTGATTAAAGTTATTCGACCTCCGAACGACAGCAAGGGGCTTTTCTAGGAGGCAAGCTTCTAGCGGAAACGGTCCAGCACTAGGTTCCAAAACTGTCTTCTCCCTGAATTCCCTCCTACTGGCAAGCCAAGATAAGTAAAAGGCATTTTGCCCACTCTACAACGCATAATGTCAGCTGCGCCTTTAACCCACCCTTCTGACAAATTTTTGCTGTCAATTTTCAACGTAGAATTAATGTCCCTCTTTTTTAATTTTACCATTATTAATTAATAATTACTCCACTTAAAAAAAAAAAACTACATTTCAACTCCTCAACTATTCTCGTTAAGAGCAAGTACAAGCTAACTCATGTTCTTTTACAAAAATATAACAAAACCTTTGAAGTTATTTGGTGGAGCCCCCCTCCCAAAATAATAATAAAAAAAAAACACTGAGCTCTCTGCACTGAGTTGGAACTTCTTAAAAAATTTGCCCTTTTTGGGCTAAAAATGGTGCAAAAAGTTTGAAAAACTCTCCACTTTAGGGGTGGGCAAATTTCGGTCAGCCAACGAGAAATCGCAAAATCACTTGAAATTGGATGAGTTTTTTCACTGGTTTGTCAGGTTTGGGCACAAAAAGAATAGTTTGGACTTAAACCCAAAGTATAGTCCGGCAGATTTCGGTGTAAGGCCCAAGCATAGAAAATCGAAGGATTAGGCCCAGTAAAACTGAAGCCCAAACATCAATTTTTTTAGTTTTGATTTTTAAAATTTTTTGGATTAGCTATACATTTTAATTACCATGTTCAACATCTTTTCCCTCTCTTTTTTAGATTAACTTTTTAACTTTTTATATATACATTTTAAATAAAAATTTAACCATCTATATAAATAATAAGTGAATTTTTTATATATATGATTTTTGTTAAGTATTTTTATTTTGATAAAAAAAATTTCAACTATTATTTATATAATATATTAAATTTTTATCTAAATTTTATGTTTAAAAAATAAAAAAATTAAATTAAAACTCATAAAATAAATAAATGAAATATTGATTATGGTAGTGCAACATCAAAATTAAACTTTTTCATTATTATTCATTTTACATTCTCTGATGACACTCACCATGTGCAAATCGAAGGATTAGGCTTAGTAAAACCAAAGCCCAAACCTCAATTTTTTTAGTTCTGATTTTTAAAAATTTTTTAGATCGCCCATGTGTTTTAATTACCATGTCTAACGTCTTTTCCTCCACCTTTTATCCTTGTTTTTTGCAAAGCCGCCTTTTGCCTTTTGGTCCACGCATTTTTCTCATTGCCTATTTTAAAGAAAAAAACACGCATTTCGTCGCGATATGGACCCCACATGCAGCAGTAACCCAACCACGCACACATTTTGTCCCGTGAGCAATGTGAGGGGCACTCGCCTCCTGCACTCTCCGGCCAACACTTTCACTTCTATTGGGCCACGTTACATTGGTCCGTAAGAGGTTGCACTTCGAA